GACAATATACATTATTCTGCAGAATGTAGCCCCTTGACATTAGATATGCCAAAATGTCAATTGCATTCTATTTCTTTCAAAAATCAATCCTGTGTTTTGGCTTTTTCACATAGCATAGCAAAATTGCAGTTTGGAGATCCACCTCCCTTTATGCAACCATATTCAAGTAACAATAAATGTGCTTCATCAATAATTACTGTAACAACGTCAACAATATCTATGTATTCTTTTAGTCTTCCTATACCTTCTGTAGAAAATTATTCTCCAGGAGACCCTTTACCTTCTCGTGATACAATCTCATGGTTAACAGTAATTATAGTCTTCTTTACTGTTCTCTTATTACTACTTATATTGATACTACCACCAATAATAATTATCTGTATTGAAAGAGATTTTATTACATTTATATATCACAAGCAGAAAAGAAAAGATTTGGAGTACAAGGGTGTACAGGTCAATCCTGAGTCAAATAAGCCCAATCAAATAGAATTGCAGAATAGCATTGTACATTTAGAAGGTAGCAACAATTAAACATTTTAGTATAGTATTTTTGTACTATTTTTTCACAGGCATTTTTGGTGAACTAATGAAATCAAAAATTGATGTTAGAGGCTTAGTATATCACTGCAGCAGGACTGGTGTGACACTAATTATTCCAGAGGAAGCAGTGCAGCAGCCAACTACTGTATGGTTTGGAGCATGTCCATTTAGTGATAAATTCATGCTTGGTGATTTTATATCAATTACTCCCATTGTATGGGTACACATTGATCAAAATTTAATCAAGCCTGCAGAGCTTTATCTACCTCATTACATCAACATTGGGGCAATGATAGAGGAGCAATTAGTTCATATGATAGCTGGGGATCAGAGCTTCATGGATCAAGGAAAATTTGAATTCACTGTTAGCAATAATGACAAAATGGAAGTTAATTCTGATTTGTTTAAAGTGTGTTGTCACCATTTTTGTTCTCACTGTGTTGCTATGGAGAAAAATGCATATAAAAGCTCACAAAAGCACTACATGTTAGCAATGGCAGAGAAACAAGAAGACAAAACAAAATTTGTTGACTTCTGTTGCTTTCCCTGTCAAATTGGATGCAAACAGGTATTTAGATTTGATTCTAGAATAACTATTTTTATTTATTTATTTATTAAGCTTGTAACAAAGCAGTATGAAGACATAGATTTTAAAATCAGTGACACAAAGAGTTTCATGTTCAATGATGAAGGCGTCTTATCTATAGCATTTGATCCTGATAATATCCCAGGATGGGACAGAGATCAAAATGGATTCCAAACTGAAGAGGTGTTCATATGCATAATGAATGATGCTTATAGTTTGTAAATTACTTTAGATATTAGAGTCTGAGGTTGATTATTTTAAAGTAATGGGTTGTGAAGCTGGTAATGTGACTAAAGAGAATATAGAAATGCTTAAAATGATAGAAGACATCCTTTCTTATCCTCCTCGCTTTAGGTTTAAGTTTTCATGCTTAAATAAAGCCCTTGCTTTAGATGCTATGAAAGTGAAAGTTGTTTTCAGTGGAGCAAACAAAGCACTCCAAATTAGCATTACATTGGAAAACCCAAAAGCATTCATAAGTGAAAATTTATCTACTTTACAAGGGACTCCTTTTTTAACTCCTAATATTACACCAGCAAATGATGCCAGTAAGTAGTTCAAATTAATTCTTATTACAATAGATGTATTATACTTATCACTACTCTGTTTTTCTATACAGTATTGATGAACCTTTTGACTGTTACAGCTGATGTCTTTCATGATGATCATCTTGGCAGTAAATGGTTTGTTTTTGGTCTGAAACTTGGATTAAGTGTCTCTCAACTACATAAGATTGAGTTACAATACAGCAATCCAATTCAATTTGCCAGAGAATTGCTTCTTTTATGGAGAACTCAAAACAAGTCAGCATCATGGGAGCCAGTAGCCGCTGCACTTAAGAGCATTGAGCTTAATTCTGTAGCTTTAAAGTTGGAGGGCCACTTTAGAGAACAATGTCCAATACCTACACTACCAAGTTAGTATCATGCATTCTAATGCAAACGAAAGCCTAGTTTATGATGAGTATCATTTTTCTATAGGTAGTGTGCTTGAAGCTGAACCTGGCCTTCCTGTACTAAATAACCTAGTGGGTGCAAAGATTGAAGACAAGTATCACTTGTTTGGGATCGCTGTTGGTCTAAATGAAGGCTACCTGAGAGGCTTGGACAAAGACTATGCAACATGTCAAGAGAGATTCCATCAAGTATTTTATAAATGGAGTCAGATTAATCCTGATACTTTCAAATGGAAAACAATCATTGAAGTATTACAATCAAATACTATCAAAGCTACTTCTGTAGCTGAATGTGTTATTGAGCATTTAGTTAGCATTCAGTAATAGTTTTATGTGTTTGTACTATTATAATAAAAATATGCACCTTGGTTTTCATGAACTTCCTCATTCTTCATAGTCAGACCAATAAATAATTGTAAAAAAAGAGCTAATCAATTTCTCACAGAAGTATTTCTAGCAATTAGAAATAGTAACACTACTGAGATGAAAGGATAGTTATTCTACTGAATTTATATTTGAATTCCTTTCAGTTTTTTGATGATAGCTAGTGCATGTGTGTGTCATGTGAAATACTAGATCTATATCGTTATTTTTATCAACAATGAGGTAGCAAAAATGTGCCAACAGTTCCTCCTTTAACTCTCTTTTTGCCTTCATTTTGGTCTAAGGCTGAAATACAAGGCATGGTGGATAATGATAGTAACACTAGTAATTGTGTTGATGGGAATAGAAAGAATATTAACATAATAGAAGGAGTCTTTGGTGGTCTACGAGTCATAGCATGTACAGTGGCCCTGGTCTTTGCAATAGTTAGTAGATTCTATAAAGATATTGTACAAAGACTGATATTGTACAAACTGATTGCTATGCTAGTCTACTCACTATCTCAGTATCTGTTCTTAAATTTGATGACTCAAATGTTTAGTAAATATTTACTTAGCTTATTCCAATTTTTGCCTACAATATTAACCTAATCCTGACCTTCTGGCTAACCATCATTCTTTATCTTTGTATTGTACACCTCAAAAAATTGAAGACCTTCACAAAATTGGAACCAATTGCAATCTTGTCTTCATTCCTGCCTTTAGTTGGTGCTGTCATAATTCCATTCACTAGCTATGATGACTGCACAATAACATGGGAAATCAAATTCTCAGAACAAGGAACAGATAAATTTAATGATATTTCTGCAATCAGCTACACCATAACCTTATTGATATACATCATAGTGTCGATGCTAGTCATTATCATTTTTATTGTAACAATAAAAAGATCACGGTTGGATGTCCAAAGAAAAAATGAGAATCAAGTCCATTCTCTACTGGTCACTAATAATAAATGGAAAATGCTTAGCAAGCAGTTACTACCACTAGTAATATATCCAATAGTTAATACAGTAATGGCAATGATTTTTCTGCCTCTAAAAGTGGTCTATTATAATAGTAGCACTGTAAAGGGTCTATATTTTTCTTCATTAATATCTTCTTCTGGTCCAGTCACTGGTATTATTGTTATAATACATCTATGCATAGTGAAGTGTAAGAAGAAACAAAGAGAAAAAAAGATATCAAAACAGAATGATAGGTTAGTACCTTTTTGTGTGGTGCCTAATAATCACAATGATGTCTTCACAAGAGAAACAGTTGCTTCAACAAATGCTCGTACTACCTACCAATACACTCGTACATCAAGTTTCACTATGAGTAAATTATTGGCTAATTATAATGCTATATAAAACTATTTTAATTATTTTGTGCTTATTATTGTCTTGTGTAGCAAACTATTTTTTTGAATTATTTTGCTGTTTTATTTAGATGTAATTTTTTGATTCAAAATGGAATTAATTTTTGGAAAAACATTCATGGGTAATTTATTGAATATAAATTCATGTCTATTGCATGTAATCTAGATTTAGATCTGTTTATCCTCCATTTATTTTTATTACTCATCTTAGTAAGATGAAGCAGCAAATTGTAATCTTATTGTCCAGATACTGTTGTTATTTCAACAGCTTACATACACACTTGAAATCGCTATGGAGGATGAAGTTGGTTCAATCCAGCTCTTAGTTCATTATTTTGCATACTAAATCAATGAATAAATAATAATAATAAATTTTTAAAATTTTTAATTTAAATTTTATTTAATTTTTTATCCGGCATTTTTTATTTTATTATAAAAATAAAAAGGGCAAGCCTAATGAATTGACTTCTCACTTAGTTTTTGATAATAATTGTTTTCTGGAATGTAGAATGATGGTCATGTTTTGAAAGAGCGGGTTTAGTTATGTTCACATTAGAGTATACGGTTCTGCTGAAGAGAGTTTGGTAATTTTGCTTGGGTTCATGATGACAAGGTAACAAAAATCTCCTGTATTTATAAAATAACCTGCTTATGTATGATAATAAAATGAGTTTGGCTAGACATTAGATCTACTTTAAAGGATTGATATATCTTTAAAAGTTTTTTCTTCATTTTTGTAATAGTGCAAATGTGGCAAATGTTATTTTTATTACTCATAATAGTAAGTTGATTCAGCGAATTCTTACAAACAGCTCCTCCTTTAACTCTCTTCTTTGCTTTCCTTCCAGTCCAAAGTTAAAGTACAAGACATGGATAATGACAGCAACACTACTGTAATTGTGTGGACGGGAACACAACTTCCAAGCAATGCTGGGGTATCTTTCTGAGTGGTAACCTTTTGACTTCGATACATGTCATCAGAACTAGGCCAAAAAATAAATTTTTACTATGTGTTGATAATATTTGTAAAGTGATACATATGCAGATGTTGTATATACAGATCTTACTAAATGATTGGAAGGTCACTGGGCATTGGTGACTTCATTTCCAAGTGATTTCTTTATATTTGTAGGCTTAACTTGCTAGCATTCCCAAACTTTGCAACTTTATTGCTTGTATCACATTGTTTGTATTACCAATGATCAATGAAAGGCTTAGTGAGAATGAAGAGGAGGACTGAGCAAAAGAAAGCAGAGAAGTATTCTAGGGTAGGCAGAAATTTTCTGGGGAATAACCCACGTGTTCCCACGTGTTAGATAGAAAGTGGGTGTGATACTACTTGTATATAAAGGTAAAGCTGCGAGGGCACCCTTCATTCTTGAGTTTCAGAAGGACTAGTCTAATAATTATTTTGAATCCAGCTGCTGAAATTAAGTTATATTAAATTAAGTTATAAGTTATATTAAGTTATTAAGTTAAGGTAGTGGTCCATACAAGAATATAACGGGACAAGAGAGCTGGATGGCTAAAACTGCTAAAGATAGCTGATTAGCTGCTGGGCACTGTAAATGTATAAACACGTGGTCAATCGCCATAGCAACTATCTAATCTGTTTCCATAGAAATTCTAATTAGCATCGCGAAAATTAGTCGTCCTACGGTATTCAAACCCCCAGTAGCATTATATCATTATATCATTTTATCATAGGTTATTTCTGATATTTTCATTTTTTGAAATAAAATATTTTAAGCTGGGCCTTGCATGAGAAGAGATGCAAACGATAGAGATTGTTCATTAACTTTTCTCCCACACTCTCTTTTTTTCTATTTTGCAGGGCCCGAGGCTGCATACTTTCTCTGAGCTTCGGGGAGGAGGTGGTCGTAGTAGTGGTAAATTATAAAATTAAATATCTGCCTTACAATTGTATTATAATTGTCTAATTATCACAATGAAAATAATAAGTAATAGCATAGCTAATGATAAGGTAGTAAATGAAGTGGGGATAAGTGATGATCTACCATATAGGGGGTATATTTCCCCAGGGAAAATATTTCACGAAAATCACCTTTAAACCTATTTACAAGGAAAAAATTTTGCGTTTTTCTTCTACTGACCATTATTAGTATGGTAAAAAATAATTTTCACAGATAAATATTTTCACAAATTTTTTAAAACCATGAAATTAACAAAATTAAATCCCTGCGAAATATACCCCCTATACGGTATTACCCTGTTTACGCTAGCCCAGAACTAGTTTAAACTACTTAAGCTACTTAGTAAAGTAACTGGTTAAAGTTGTGTTTACACTAAACAAACAAAACTAGTAAAAGAGCGGGTTGTTTTAAGGGTGTGGTTTCAGTACAAGCAACAATTATGGTGAATCCAGCTGTCCTGTTAGTTCTATACTTGTTTTACTTGTATAAAAAAAGAAGAAGCAGCTATCAACTGAGGCTACAGAAGTTTCAAGAAGCTCAAAGAAGACAAAGCATTATTTTTCATGCTGTATTACTTTTGATGCATAGATGTTGTCGCTACATGATTAAAAGGAGCGTATGGGTGAGAGTAAGAAGTGGAGATTGGTGGAACAGTATTGTTAGATGTACATTCAATGATGATGATTGGAGAGAAAATTTTAGAGTTAGTAAGTCAACATTTGCAGTTTTGTGTAACTGTCTGAGGAATGATATTGCCAAAAGTGATACTAAACTTAGAAAAGCTATTCCAAGAAAGTGAGTTTAGAAAGGAGGGAAGATGCCAAATTCCATTGCAAGCTAAAGTCTATTCACTTTCACCTGACCCCTGGCTTTTTTCAATTAATAAAATAACTACGTCACATCCGCATTCTTTACGTATTTTTGGTTTTGGAATTGTTTTTGTTGTGCTTAAGGGATGCAGATAAGTAGCAGCTGAATTTAATCTGGCTGTTCTAGCTGCATAGTTGCGGTCAAAGGTATGTAATTGAGTTTATACAGGGACATCCACAAAAGGCTAAGGCCTTATCATTTTGACCCGATCTTTTTATCTAAAGGACGGGAAGGACCTAGCAATTCTAATGGTGCAAACAAATTTCTAA